ACCTGTTCCTTGAGCTTTGGGGAGGTGTTCATCCCGATTGTAGCCTCTGCAATCCAACCGTTTTTGTCACTACTGCGTGACTTACACAACCAGCATTCGGAGTGGGGGCTTTCGAAACGGGTCTTTCGCTGCGTTGCCCTTGCGCCGGCAGAGGATAGACCCGGCCCCTTTTTTCCTATATGAACGCTGGAAGGTGGTCTTTTCCATCTCGCTTATTCCCTTACAGGTGTTGCTACCCAATTGCGTGCCGGTTATCACATTAACCGTTTCTAATGTCTTTCTATGCTTTATTAGGGACCGCAACACTGAAGACGGCGTGTTGCACGCACGCCTAGGTCTCCACGGCGTGGCGGCGTACGAGTTCTCGAACCAGTGCTTTAAGCCACTTTTAATGAACCATTTAATGGTGGAAGCTCAAGGGAATCTAGGGGGTACCACCGGACTCTGTGAGCTCAATATATCGGTTAGCCCTGGAAACATCAACGTCTCATCCGAGCAAGTGCATCTACTAAAATATTTAGACGCACACGCACAGGATCTGGAGCTATGCCGCCCCGCGGCGCGCATCATCAATGAAACCGGCATATCCTTTTCCTTAGTGACGCCCTCAGACAGCGTCGTCACTGTAGGTGACCAGCACGAGTTGGCGCTGCAAGAGCTTTTGCAGCCCAATCAGCTCTTGGATATTCGGCGTGATGGGGATAGTATTGACCACGTCTTGGTGGATAAGAGCGACGCCGCTGTGCAAAATCTCACAACCCCCGATACGTTCTACGCCAGCACTAATGTTATTGTGTTCACAAGCGGTATTCGACTTCACATGGTAAGTGTGATGGATTGTCACTTCACCCAGTGCGTATGGGTGCGCACGTTGGTGTTGGTGAAGAATGAAACGACTTACCGTCTGATATTCACTTCGGACGACTCTTTTGGTTTGCGCATCGTGGGATGTGGGGCGATATCTTGCCTTCCGGAGAGTTTACTGGATTGTAAGGGGCTGAACTTGGCCTTGTCGTTTGATGAAGACGACAGTTCTATTTCACTGAAGGAGCCTTTGTGGCATAGTATGAGTGCGTTGGACTGCGTGAGACTCGCTTACGCGCAAGAAGCTCCACCCCCGAGTGTAGCGATGGAGTTTATATCCCAAAAAGACGCCTCCAGTCACTTTGTGACTCTTGATTTTGAGCTCACTGGCAACGGTGGCATCATCATGTTTGTACATCTTTCACAGCCTATTGTTGTGAACCGGACCTGTTTCCCAGTTGTGGTGGAGCTCTTTGGGACGTCTTCCTTGTCGGGGCATGCGATCTTATTCAAGATTGATCCTGGCGCCTCAGCGAGTGTTTGCTACCTCAATCCAGCCATTTCACACCCTAGTCGAGTGATCATTGATGTCAACTCCAGTCTTTACCAATCGTCCAGAGACTTGGAGCTGTGTTCTCTGCCGCAGGCCGACGGCAACACAAGCGTTGACTTTGTCGTGAAGCACTGCAAATACCCCCTACGCTACTTTTTTGAGCTGACCGCAACTTATGAACCTCGCCCCTATCCTGGGAGGAAGACTACGGCATGGGTTATTTCGGCTAGCAGCCATGCATTCATCCGGAACGAGTGTGAAGTAGACATTCTGATTTTGTCGACCTCAAGTGGGACTCCCACCGGTAGTCTCCCGGCAGACGGTTTGCGGAGCCGCTCTGGGGGCCAAAACCTTGGCTACGTCCCGTTTAACCATGGCCTACGCTTGAAAGTCCAGGAGTTACTCTTTTCTGAGGAATTTGAGATTATCCCCAACTTTGCTGGGGCCTGTATTCAATGCGAGTCGAAGGAATCCAACGGGTCAGCACCTGTCAGCCACGCTACCTATTTCTTGTTGCGCCCCATTGCACACAGCGAAGGTCGGTTCTTCGACATCATGCCACCAATGATGATTGTCAATCAGCACCCTTCATTGCCTTTATACGGTTGCCATATGGTCCGGGAAAGTGATCAGACGGACGATGCTGATGATAACGGTTCAGTGCTCGTGTCCACCTTTCAGGTTGATGCGAATACCCAGAAGCAGTACTATGGCATGGCGAAGGATGGTTACTCCAGCTACTTTCCCGTTAGTTTTGACAATCAAACACCGCATTCCTTTCTCAACAAGACCGACCTGCTTCCAAACACCTCATGGAGGGGTTACATGGAGTATAGGGATTCCCTTTATTGCATAGACATCACCCGAAAAGGGCTTTACGACCCTGTCACAATGGTCATTGGTGGGCCACAGCCCGCACTGCTTCGGGTTGTGAATCTGACCACGGTTGCCTTTCGTGAGGTGGACGCGTTGATGGTGAATTCGCCAAGCTCGTCGCATCCAGGTGACAGAGAGTTGGTGCTGACCCATGCAAATGACAGCGGCGCTCGGCTACGCATTTCGTTGCTGGGTGATCACGATTGTGCGGATGCCTTGGATTCCTCATCGACATCCTTTTCAGTTGGTGTCCGAACAGTAGTGGGAGATCGCGATCGACCCACAATAGTGCTCCTGTTCGATCCGAACGTTGACATTTTTGTTCATAAGGACGTCTTGATTCTGCCTGAAGAAAGACAGTACCTCGAGTTGCGCTTGGAGGCAAATATTTTCAGGCAATGCTTGAACTTGCGTGATAAGGCGTGCGTGCCCATGCAGCTGAAGCTGGAGTCTTTATCCATTTATATTGCTTATACAAGAACCCTTTCGGTGCAATGCACAGCCACTGGGCTCAGCATTCGCAACATGTGCGATGGTGATCAAATCAGTGTTTTGGAGCCGTTTGAGCTGAACATGACGGTGCGGGACGCCACCTGGAGTCTCTGCTCTGTGAATGTTAACTCATTTCATACCAGTGTCAGTCCTATCAACATTACTATTTCCGATTGGTTTGTGTATCAACTACAACAATTTTTTGAACAATGCAGGCTTGTGCTCCCGGAAGACTCTGCGGCCTTTATACACGATTCCTGTAAAGCGGTTCCTTTATTGGAACAGACCGGATCACTGCGCTACATTAGTGCGGACCAGGCAACTATATCAGCAATTCCTGTTGAGATCAGTTGGGATCGAAGTGTAGCCCCACCGACCGATTATATCCTTGGTAATTCCACATTAAGCCTTTTTATACCATCACTTCATCACGCTCGTTTTGTCCTTCCACGTGTGCAGTTCAAAAAGCTCATTACGCCTTCGCTGAATCAGCTGATCACTACAATCCAGCAGTTATTCCTAACCGAAGCACTGAAACAGTTACCGCAGATTGTAGCTAGTGTCGGCTTCTTCAAAAGCGACAGTTCTCTTATCCAGCGCATAGGTTCAGGTATCACCTCTTTCTTTTCTTGGACCTCGAAGCAAGGAAGCAAAACCCCTCATGACGCTTCTCTGCTTTAGCCATGCAGTCTAACAGCAAGTTGAGCAAAGACAAACAATAAGTCATTATGTAAAAAGTGACTAACTGGTTTCTTGATTATTCTTATAATAGACTGTGTTTGCTTTAAAAATTACTCTAACCACATAAAGCGCGTAAGATTGATTTCATCCGTAAAACTTCGAGCGTCATTCGGCAAAATAGCTATTGGTTGTCCGACACCTGTTGACTTTCATTCAATCTCCCAACCGTTTTCAATAGTCTGTACACACATGGTTTAAATTAGACTGAACCCCATCAGCGTTGGGCGCTGAATTTGCTTGATGGTTTGTTTTGTGTACTATACCATGCTCTTGGCCTACTTGTACAAAGATAAAAGGCTCAGCTTCATCGAGAGAGGGTTCCCCTAGTCCATGCAGCAGACTTTTCTCGACTAGTTTCTACTCTTAACCTGTGCTGTTGAATCTTGGTGTTTGCAACTCTTTTCTTTTAGAACTTAGACTGCGGGCAATACCCT